AGTTTGAGGTTGCTGTGAGCTAGGCTGACGCCACGGCACTCTAGCCCAGGCAACAGAGTGAGACTCTGTCTCAAAAAAAAAAAAGAAAGCAAATAAATGAGGTATTGAAGTTAAACTTATTTTATCAAGAGTCATTTAGCATTCTTAGTTTTAAACATTCCAAGTCAAAAGCCAGCTGGACACTCCCCAGTGGGGTGGAGAGAGAATGTATGTAGCATGCTAAACATTCATCTTACATATACCACAGAGAAGCAACATTACTAGGAGTCAGAACTGAACATCCATGGTCTAAAACACACTCTCTTCAAGGGAAGACCAAGGGAAGAATGATCACCTCTCACCAAGGGAGTTTCCCTGCCAAGCCTGTGTCCATCAACACCCATTCCCAGAACAATTGAAGTCACTGTTCTCTCCCAGACCAGTGAAGCCATGAAAAGTAAAAAAGCACCCACAATGGTGTAACTCATCTGCAACTTAAGACGGACAATATTAAAACAAAAACAAAAATCATACAGAACATTCACAAGTGATTAGGGCTTCCCACCATCCCCCCCATTAGTTTATGCCCCACTCCATCACATCTTCCAACTTTCTACGGAGCAGGTTTCCAACCTGCCCCACCTCTGCCTTTTTCATTTCCAAGAAAAAAGGAAAGATACTCAACAACCTTGGAGAAAGAGAGAGAATATCAAGGTAAGACAGGTAAACAGATAAACAAGATGGTATATACATACAATAGAGCATCATTCTGCCTTAAACAGGAAATAAAATTCTGATACATGCTACATTATGGATGAACCTTGAGGATATTATCCTAAGTAAAATAAGCCAATCACAAAAAAACAAATACTATATGATTCCATTTGTATGAGGTATCTAGAGTAGTCAAAATAATAGAAACAGGCCGGGCGTGGTGGCTCACGCCTGTAATCCTAGCACTCTGGGAGGCCGAGGTGGGTGGATCATTTGAGCTCAGGATTTCAAGACCAGCCTGAGCAAGAGTGAGACCCCACCTCTACCAAAAAAATAGAAAAAAATTAGCTGGACAACTAAAAATATATAGAAAAAATTAGCCGGGCTTGGTGGCGCATGCCTGTAGTCCCAGCTACTCGGGAGGCTGAGGCAGGAGGATCGCTTGAGCCCAGGAGTTTGAGGTTGCTGTGAGCTAGGCTGATGCCACGGCACTCTAGCCAGGCAACAGAGTGAGACTTTGTTTCAAAAAAAAAAAATAAATAATAATAATAATAGAAACAAAGTAGAACGGTAGTTGCCAAGGGCTTAGAGATAGGGGGTAATGGGTATGGAGTTTCAGTATTGAAAGATGAAAAAGTCCTGCAGATTGGATACACAACAATATGAATATACTTAACACTACATGCCAGGCACAGTGGCTCACACTTGTAATCCTAGCACTCTGGGAGGCCGAGGCGGGAGGATCACCTGAGGTTAGGAGTTTAAGACCAGCTTGAGCAAGAGCGAGACCCCGTCTCTACTAAAAACAGAAAAAATTAGCCAGGCATGGTGGCATATGCCTATAGTGCCTCAGGAGGCTGAAGCAGGAGGATCGCTTGAGCCCAGGAGTTTCAAGTTGCTGTGAGCTAGGCTGATGCCATGGCACTCTAGCCTGCGCAACAGAGTGAGACTCTGTCTCAAAAAAAAAAAACAACACTACAGAATTGTACAATTAAAAATGGTTAAGATGGTAAATTTTGTGTGTATTTTAATGCAATTGAAAATAAACTTTTAAAAAATACCAAGAATCCTCCTCCTCATTGGTGACCCAACTACCTTCCACAGCAGCTCTGCCATGATTATTAACATTCAAGATCAAACCTTTTCTGTTCAGGAACAGGACAGTCCAGGGGTAATACCTATGAGTCTGCTTGAGATAGGAGCTTCCACAAAAAACTGATACCTAACCTCCAAATTTTTCTCTGATTTGCACATTAAAACTCATAAAAGTTATTCATTTGTTGTCTTACTTGGGAATACATCTCCTTCATTTCTAATACTAAGTATCATGCAGATCTGGCCACTCATACCATGCCATACAGCAGGTAGAAATCTTTAAATGTCTGGAAGGAACCAACAGCTTTCAGCTTCATCAACCCTACGTACATCGGTTCTACAAAGCTCTTTCCCCTCTGTGGCTCACTGATAATTCTCCCAAACATGTCATTCTTTTTTTTTTTTTTTTTGAGACAGAGTCTCACTGTGTTGCCCAGGCTAGAGTGTCGTGGCATCATCCTCGCTCACAGCAACCTCAAACTCCTGGGCTCAAGCGATCCTCCTGCCTCAGCCTCCAGAGTAGCTGGGACTACAGGTATGCGCCACCATGCCCGGCTATTTTTTCTATATATTTTTAGTTGTCCGATTAATTTCTTTCTATTTTTAGTAGAGACGGGGTCTCGCTCTTGCTCAGGCTGGTTCTGAACTCCTGAGCTCAAACAATCCTCCCACCTCGGCCTCCCAGAGAGCTAGGATTACAGGCGTGAGCCACCGAGCCCGGCCCCTACAAAGAAGTTTTGATGCTCTTCCCAC